TTGGTAGTCAAGTAGACTATCAAGACCTCAGTCTGGCCGTCGAGAAAAGTGAGGACCTCATAAAGATTCGCGATTTCGATCAACTTGCCGGTGCCGTCACTTCAGCTGGCAAATATGTTACATCGCAGGCAGGTAATGACTGTCTTACGTGATTTTGTAAGTTCTGAATTTGCAGCTTTATAAATAATGTATCGATTAGCTCAGCAGCACAGTGGTTTAAGAGGGGTGATTTTATTTAGAAGGTCGAGGGTACGAGTCTAACAGGAATATTAATCTATCAATAGATTTTTTTCAGCAATACGTTACTTAGTAATGAATTTTTGGGCTCTCCGAAAGTGCAATCCGCGCCAAAAATCCCTCCAAAAATCAATTTTCAAAGCGCAACATTCGACTTTACATTCCGACATCAACTTCGCATTTCAACATTTGACTTTGCAAAGTTCAAGCTTTGAAGTTGCAAATCAGTATTCGTTACATGGAACATTCAACATTCAACTTGACAATGGTTATTATTTTATTTGAAATACCAACATTTGACTTTGCAAAGCTCAACATTCAACTTCGCAATCCAAATTAATTAGGCCGAGATCAACATTCAAGTCCAGAACTGTCTGAACACATTTCTATTCAAATTAATGTTTTTTCTGTGTATTTGTGTTTTGACTGTCTGTGGAAATTCGAAATTCGGTGTTGAGATTTTCCAACTTGAATGTCGAGTTCTCAGCCGCGTACCAAGTCCGCCAAAAACAAAAACGATACCTCTGGGGAAGGGGCTGGTTAAGAGCCACTTCGGGCAAAAATCATCAGACATATCTTGGCAAGGCTCGAAAAATCAAATCTATTCATATTTTGTATATAGATAAGGTATGATATAGATAAGGTGTAATTGTTWTTTTTAATATTCGTTTTTCGCAAGAAAATCGCTTRAAGTCGACATTTTTGCACATGTAGTTTCATATGCAAATTAGTATCTTTACAATACGATCATTTTTTTATGTGCAAGTATTTTCTTTGCAATAAAATTCAGAGTGATTACTAAGTAAGAGATGAGCTCTTCAAAGACATAAAAATTACTAGTCCGTGCAGATCACTATCAGTAACCTAGAAATGAATACTTCTGGCGATAAAAATCAGTTGAAACACCACGCCGAAACTCATTTACTTGCCTAAACTTTTCAAAGAAAATAATATACATTTAATTTGATTAGATGTTTATAAGCTTCGGATAACAACTGGCAAAATACGTGACTAACGCTAATAATTGTGAATACTATTATAGAATAAGTCATTCCTACGCACCTGCATGATTTGCCCAGACTAATTTTTATTTTTTTGTAAAGCTCATGTCTTGCTTAGTCATCAGTCCGGATTTGAAAATTGATCATTTTGTAAGGTACTAAAATAATTTGCAAATATAACTTGATATGTAAACACTTCGCGAGTTCCAGAAAATTTTCTTTTCATTAATTAAATGTTCTGGAAATCAAAGAAATGAATAAAAAGAGTTATCTAGAAAGGCACAATTTAATTTATTAAAATATTTCTTTACATTTCACACAAGCTAGGTAGAACGTTTGGCCATTTTRAGTGCTATTTACCAATCAAACATTTGTCACGCAAAGTAGTAAAGGCCCAGTATGCGACATTGCGTTCAGCAATTTTCTTGCAAAAAACGAAATATTTTAAAAAACAATTACACAGCGATTGTTAYYTTATCATAGCTTATCTATATACAAAATATAAATAGATTTGGTTTTTAGAGCCTTGCCAAGAAATGTCTGATGATTTTTGTCCGAAGTGGCTCTTAAACCCCCTCCCCCAGAGGTATCGTTTTTGTTTTTGGCGGACTTGTGCTTTCTTTAGTTTACTGTAAAGTCTTTGGGCAAGAAAATCTGGTTTCAAATAAAGCAGCCGTTGTTCGCTTTGAATTCGAAAATGGAGTATTGGCTTTCTTATTTTTTTCATTTCTTGTATAGATATTGTGAGCGAAGACTTTTCAGCTGATGTCGTTTTCATTATCGATGCTTCTACAAGTATTACTGACGATAATTTTGAAAGGACAAAGGCATTTGTAAAAAAGATGGTGGTAATGCTGAAGTTATCCACTCCTGATTCAAGAGCAGCAGTTGTAACCTATAGTTCATTTCCAAAAACGGTCGTGCCTATGGCTAATTATAATCTAAGTTCATTTGAGAAAAGTATTGAAGACGCTGTTTTGCACAGAGATGAATTTAAATCAAGAATAGATCTTGCTATGAATTTCGGAAGTAAAGAACTACGGACGCCTGGTAAAAATCGGAAGAAAGTTGCTGTTTTAGTGACATCTGAAGAGCTAAGGAAAAAGCCTGAGCCACTGGGAGTTGTTTCTCATCCTCTTCGTGATATGGGAGCAGATCTGTTTATTATTACTATTGGCTCAAAACCGAACATTGAAAATCTGTTGCCAATGGTTGTCGATGCGAAAGATATTTTTAAAGTCACTACATACCAAGATTTGCTCATTCGAAATCGTGATATTGCTAAAGAAATTGCCAAGAAATCAGGTGCGATATTTGTTTTTACATTTACACGTACATTTATGCAGTAATATAAAAAAATCTAATGCAGTAATTTTTAAAAAGAATTTCTTACCGCCTTGATAGATATAAATATGTTGTCAATTGTAAATAGCTTGTGGATTGAGATATGCACTTATATAAATATATAATATCTAATGAGATGCAATGAGGTACACTGCAAGGCGCTCTCTACATTTTTGACAAAGTGACACAAAGAACTCAACTGTCACTAAACTAGCACTAAACCACTGAAATTCCATACATATAAATGGCAGCAATCTCATGTTTTTTTTATTAAAACAAAGTGGCGTGAAATCGGATTGGGAAAGTAGAGTTGGCATATTCTTTCAATATGTATATCCAACATCCATGTTGTATACATTTCTGTTTGTCAGTTCTGCAAACGCAGAAAATATAAAAGCCAAACGTTTCCTCAGAAAATTTTCGTTCGGTTGGGTTGCCTTGAAAATTTAGACATATTTTGAATCTCATCATGTATTTTATGCGTCTAATTGTAYATGTCCATAGGAGCATATGTAAATCCACGAACCTCTGATGCATCAATTTTCCATTTATAAAGTAAAGTAAAATAAAGCAAAGATATAGTTGTTAGAAGGGGGAAATAAATTAGGAAAAAGTAATTTCCGACCTCGCTGGGACACGACCCTCGACCCTCGGATTTTTACTWCCGATGCTCTACCAGCTGATCTAAAAGGTCAGACTGGGAGCAGGTCGGGGTGAAATAGATGCTTGGTTGCGGCAATTATAATGTAAAGATAATATAAAAATTAGGTACCACCTAATAGCGGAGCTCCAATAGCAATATAGAAGCTGAAAATGATTATCTAGTACTGCTATTTCAAAGGTAGATGCTCTGTTCTAAGGAATGTGAGCTACAACAGTTTTGTTGACATGCGAACAAATATTATAAAGAGTATGTTTATGAGAATTTAGTTCGTACTAATATTGACTTCGGTAGATTTTGTTCCGTTGGATGAAGTTTAAAATTATAATCTATAAAGGTCAATTGATTAAAAGTAAACTGAAAGCTTCTCGGCAAAAAGTAGTCTACATAAGCTTACAATAATCAACATTGTTTCAATAATCGATGTTTGAACCCGGACAAAAATACAAAAATATATTTTTTACCTTCATTATCGGACTTYCGATAAACTATCGTTCAAAGGTCATCTTCAACAGAGCCATACTTGTTTCAAGCCATAGGTTTCATCAATTTGTTAAGTCATTCAAGACTGTAGATTCTTTGTTTTTAATCTCTCTCAATCTAACTGCTAGCATCGCATGGTCTTGGTTTCGAAATGTSCACACTTTTAGTCGACAAAAGAACTTCGCATAGATCCCTGCTTTTTTCCCATATTGGTCCATATTATTGAAGTATTTCCAATAAAGTATCATCTCTTTCTTGTCGTCGAAATATCAAAGTAAAAWCCTTTTTTCTAATATCACTTTTAGATGAGCCTAAATTGCTTTTCATCTTCGCAAATCGATTTCCCGGWTGTGYGGACGMGTBGAAGTTATGACAAAATTGGCGGGAATATTTCTGTGCTGTTATTTCGCTCTTCAGTGGATTTTTTCCTTGTTATTAATTGTTCTAATATTATCAATATGTAATATAAATGTTTAAGGAAAAAATTTCGATTTTTCAACAAATAYTTGGCGCTTTGTTTCCTTTTCGAGCGGAGTATGGGTTTCCTGTGGTGGTACACGGAATCCAGGACGGTAGGACGGAAAGACGGACGGACGGACGGAAGGAAACGTGCGTACGCGCGGGAACCCTGTGTCRGTCCATGGAAAATCGACTCGATGGTATACCATTTTTTCTTAGCTATGGTGCTCCGCTCACGCGGGCCTTCGGCCCGCGCGGGAGCTCCGCTATGAATGTAAGGACCGCATGGCACTATGAGATACGTGATATAGAAATAAAGGAAAAATATAGTGCTTAACTTATGTTAAATAAGTAAACAGACTGATAATTTAATCACTTTAAAATCTCAAGAAATTTCACAAGAAAAAATAACCAATTAATGGAAATCATTTACATCAAATTTACAGAATTTTGGACACTTACATCATATTTACATCAAATTTACAACCTTTAAAGTGCGCGATGGAGCACTGTATAGACTTAACTTCAGGTCACCTTTTATCTCAATACTTACATTTGTATATGAATTTTGATATTTTCTTTTTTAATTTTTGTCTGATTTACTTACTTTTTAGGTACTCGAGTATTGCTACCAAAGGACTTTGAAGCGGAAGTTGTGTTTTTGATAGATTCTTCTATGCAAATTTCCACAACAGACTTCAACCACGAAATCGATTTTGTAAAAGAAATGGCAAAATTGATGGAACTAAATAAGGAGAAAATTAGATCTGCGGTTATCACATATGGTAACTACCCGGAAATAGCAATAAACATGGGAGATTATGAGGGTTTAGGTGACTTTGTTTCCAAATTACAAAAGGTGGCTAAAATTGGAGGGGCTAGGCGAATTGACATAGCAGTGGAAAAATCTATCGACTTACTAAAAAATGCACGCCCTGGAGTTCCTAGGTTAATTATCTTACTGACTGCAGGAGAAGTGATTACTGGCGTCTCAAAAATAGCTGAGCATTTAAAAAATATTGGTTCTAAAGTGTTTGTGGTGGCAATTGGTAGCATTAGAAGCACTAAAGCTTTACAAAAGCTGGTTTCGAGACCAGAAGACCTGTTTAAAGTGCCTCGTTTTGAATACCTTCTTGGCTATACAAACATGATTGGCATTGCAATGTCCAATATTTCAGGTACGTACTGATGTATAGATAACTTTGTTAACATGGGATTGAAAGGAATTACAAAGGAATCAGTACACAATTGTTAACGTTTTTTATGTGCTAAGGTTATTACACAAAATATAATTCTTGGCCGTTTCTTAATGGAAATGCAGTGCATGTACATGCAAGTTCTTCTGGACCCTTTTTCCGCGACCACCACTTCAACGGATCGGAGTTGACTAGATAGGGTGTGGGACTGGACTAGGGTAATGATAGTTCGTTTCGTAAAAACGGGCATCGGCTAAAATTTCAAGACAGTTTTAACAACACCATTATTATGCTTTCTTGATGTGAGAGAGCCTCGTTAAATAAGATAGCATTAATCAACTTTAAACTTGAAAAAGAAGCATAAAAGAAGGACATATTAAATTCCAAACAGTCTTGACCGGCTGAAAATGTTGTTTATAGGGAGATAACCTCATATACTGATCAGTTTGTAAAGTGCATGTTGCAAGTTAATTTTAATTTGGAAGTACGTGCCCATTTAATACCATATTTCTTTCTTGTTCCCAGCTGTTCCACAAGTCAAAGGCTTCAGAGCGGATATAATTTTTCTAGCAGACGCGTCATCTTCTGTCAGTCGATCGGAATTTGAAGCTCAGAAAGATATTGTCAAGGAACTTTCTAGGATGTTTAATATTGATTCCGTGAATTCAAAAGCATCATTTGTAACATATGGCAACCGTGCAGTCGTTGTTTGTAAATTTGATGACTGCAAAAGTCATTCAGAGTTTGCAAAAATAATAGATGACTCTCCCTTAACTGGTGGGTCAAGGCGTATGGACAAAGCACTTGATCAAGCTTGGGATTTATTCAACCATAGGCCAAACAGACGTGTACCTAAAATTGTTGTTCTTATGACGACGGGGACCCATGAATCAGAATCAAACGTTCAATCACTTGATAAAAAGGCATCTGCAATGTTATCTATCGGAGCCAGAATATATGTTATTGCTTTTGGAAAAAGGCCTGACTCGAGGGAGCTTAGTCGTGCCGTTCAGACATCTGAAGACATTGTTAGGATATACTCACTGGAAGACGTACTCTCGCAAATGATTCCAATGGCAAATAAAATAATAAAAGATCGTAAGTATAATGATTTCTCATTAAAGACATCCGAATATGCCAGCTGCTCTCAGCAAAGAACGTGACGGGTAATAAAATGGAGGGTTTTGTTTGGGGGTAGGGTAGAGAAGTTTTTTTTGTAGACAAAACAGATTCTTTATCATATCTGTAAACATTGAGTAAATAGATAGATTTAGTTACTATCAAAAGAGAGAGTTCTTTCCTTATGGCATAAGAACCGTCAAAAATAATCCGAATTTTGATGGCTTTCCTAGCATATTTTTATCGCAAAAAGAACGTCCATACAGGCACCATCTAATCAGCAACATCTTATCATGGTTTACTATTTGTAGAGTATATCTTGTGCTTATTATGATTCAATCACTAATATACCAATGTTCTCATTTTCAGACATTCTGATCCCAAAGACTTTAAAAGCTGAGGTTATATTTCTAGCAGACTCGTCTGGATCGGTGAACTTTGGAGAATTCCAAGATGCATTGCGTTTCACTAAGTCACTTGCTAACCATCTTAAACTCTTTTCTGGGAAATCTAGAGCGTCATTTGTCTCTTATGGCTCACATCCTGTAGAAGTCAACGAATACAAGTCCCAGCAAGAGTTCAATAATGCGGTTGATCGTGCTCCATATGTACGTGGAAAACGAAGAATTGATCTTGCTTTAGAAAAAGTTCTACAGATAGTGAAAGGCACTAAACCCGATATTGCTAGGATTTTAGTTTTGCTTTCTAAAGGTGTTTCAAGCCCAGGTTCTAAAGATATTGAGAGTGCGATAAAGCCTCTTCGAGATCTTGGTATAAAACCTTTAGTTTTTATTATTGGCGAGAATGTTGGCAGAAAAGAATTCTTGAAGACCGTTGATAAACCAGATGACATCATCATTATGCCATCTTTTAAAGTTTTACTAGATAACGTGAAGTTTGCCGGCGAGAACATTACCATGAGTAAGTTTCTTATTTGAGTTATTTTAGTGTTTTAGGAGATCGTCTTAGTTTTAACTTCTTAAATTGAACTTTTCATCTCATTGGAATGTATTATTTGCAGGTACGATGGATCCAATGGAGCTATCAGCTGACATAGCATTTGTAACAGATTCATCAGCAACAGTATCAAGGCAAGAATATGAAAGCGAGAAAATGTTCCTTAAAGGTTTGGCGCGACAACTAAATGTTTCTCCTGGAAAGTCACGTGCAAGTATGATAACTTACGGCAAGAATTCTAGAATTGAAAACAGATTTGACGGGTATAGAACCTCATCCGAATTCGAGCAAATTGTCAAGGAAGCTYTATATATGGGTGGGCCAAGGAGAATTGATCGAGCATTAGACACTGCAGACAGTGTTCTTCAATATAGCAGGGCACAAATCCCAAAAATTGTTGTGTTTTTCATTTCTGGTCGAGAGGGTCTTACAGCTCAGCCGTTAGAAACATCTGTTAAAGCAGTACGCGATCACGGAGCTAGGATATTTATTGTTGCTTTTGGAAACAATCATGACATCAAAGGCGTAGAATCACTAGTTGACCAACAACAAAACATATTTCGGATCCCAGCATCTGATGACTTCACAGATTGGGTTATACCGACGTCTAGGATAATCGCATCCCGTACACGTATGTATATATAGCTCATTAATTCTATTTAGGCTTAATCGCTTTTGTACGGTACTTAAACGATAAAAATGATGCCATAGCATTTGTTGAATTTTTTTTCCAGCTATTGTAGAAACACCCATTACGTCTAATACTGACATTGTTATACTTGGAGATTCCTCTTCCCATGTACAAAAATGGCAGTTCGAAAAACAAAAAGAATTTGTGCAGAAGCTCATCCAGATGATAAATATTTCTCCTGATGGATCTCGAGCTGCATTTATCTCCTACGGCGAAACACAATTTCCCTTCGATGCTTTCAAAGATACAAAACAAGCATTCAGCAATTCTTTGAGGTCAACTGCATATGTTGGAGGTAAAGTGAGGCTTGAACTAGCAATAAATGCAGCATTACAACTCTTCAATCAACACCGCCCAGGTAATATATAATGCCATTTTTGTTTTTATTATATCCGTTTTAAAATCACTAGCAAATCTAGAAATCTGATTGGTTCTAAATAGCGCGATTTGAGACCGAAACGCCCTATTTTRACTCCAAATTGCACCTTTTGGTCACCCAATCACAATGAAAAACTTGGCAACCTAATTACAAATTGTGTGTAGTTAACTCCAATCAGACTAAAGTTAAAAGGAACACAAAATATAAATTTTCTTAGGTTTTAGAGTAAATTTGTAATGCAAAAAGGAGGAAATTCGAAGATTTCAGTTCTTACTTACATGTTCTAGATGACATGCAATGTACTATCAAAGTGTGATTTTCCATCATTTGATACTTGTAAATCCTGAATAAAGCAGCGTAATTCACAAGCCAATACTAAAACTAATGCTTAGAGAGATGCAATTTCATTTAGCTCAATTTGCAAATTCAACAAACAATTAAAACCCATCTAGATAAATGAAGATTTTCAGTGCTTTAAAATGCAGACATCAAGGCTCAGGCGGCAGGTCACCATTAAGAACAAAGACAGCAACAATTTTATGGAAAATGTAGATGAATTTCCTCRTGCCGCTCCTTAAAGGAGAAAGGGCAACAACATAAGGATTGTGAGGGTGAGGGAATTCTCAAAATCAAATGGCATCGATCGTCTTCCTCGCCGATAACCACTTCACGCAAATTTCCYKTTAAACAAGGTTAAAAATACATCTTAAAGATCCTGCAGCAATTCCTAAACCTTCTTTACGACACTGAATCTTATGATGACTCATACTGAAATAAAGTTTGACTTGTCACGTTTGTAGTTTTCCTCGAAGTGATGCAAGCTACTGCTCAAATTACCTGTCAGTTTATGAATTCTAAATGAGATTTCAGACCAAATTGCATTCCACCTAACTCAATTGTCATTATATATGAAGAAGATCATCATTGCACATACTACGGCTTGAATTGTGTTATAATTCTAAATGCACATAGTAGAAAAAAACGTCTTTAGTCAATTTTACTTCTTTTAATTTTGACAGGAAATTCAAAGGTGTTGCTAGTACTAACAGCTGGATCACAACATCCAAGATCAGCGTCGTTGGATTCCTTAGCACAAAGGCTTAAAGGACAACGCATCAATGTATATGTTTTAACGATCGGAAGAGGCTACAACATTTCCCAATTTGCTCCTATTGTCCAGAAGAAAGGAAACATTCTTAGTGTTGACGACCACAACGCATTGATGTCAAAGATTCATGACATACGCATTCTTATTACTAGCGTGGGTAAGTCTTGTCAGCTAACATAAAAAGAAAGAAAGTAGATCGCCCCTATGTTCATTTGAATTTGGCATACGCAAATTCCAAAGAGATCGCCACTACTTTGATTCATGATATATGTTCTCCATGCTGGACTTCTTGTCTGTAATAATAAAAACACTAAACTAGCTTCGTTTCGCCGGGTACGCACAAAACGTTTATAACAGTACAAAATGGCCAAAAATGGTTTACTTCTATTTAGATATGGGATTCTAGAAAAATTCATTGCATAACTCGGGAGTTCCGCAATGAATTTCACTCGAAAAAAGCGATATCGTTTTTCTCGTGAAACTCATTGCGGAATTCCCTCGTCATCCAAAGAATTTTCCTATATTGTCTTCCACAGGAAATTCGTGTAAAAAACAACAACAAAAACTATCGAAAGAACCAGCGAGACCTTACAAAAACAATGTTATTGAGCTTTAGCAGAAATTAGACAAGAAATAATTCAACAATTGAGAGCTGTTCTGGTGATCATTCGCATAAACTTSTCCTGAATTCTCCCATCGGTCACGGCATTAAAATAAACCCTTTGATCAATCTCCTTTACACCATTTAGGCATTAAAACCATGTCAGTACGGGAAAATATCAGATTGAGGTCTTGACAGTACATCAAGTTCAATGAGTGATGTGTTTGCCTGCAAAATAGTTCAATGAGTGATGTGTTTGCCTGCAAAATAGCAGGAATAATATAAAAATTAGGTAACACCTAATAGCAGAGCTCCAATAGCAATATAGAAGCTGA